TCCAGCTTTCCCAGGTCCCCAAACTTGGGAATCTATTTCTCTCCAACATGCCAATGAAGCTCTGGCATTGAGTCCAGACATTAACCGACTAACCTAGCAGAGTAGTAATGATAGGCCCAGATGCCTGAGCCAACACTACCATGTGGGGGGATTCAGCCCCATCAATCCAGGTCCTCTGGTCTCACAACCTTAGAATCTGTATCAGTCAGGGTCCCGGGAGAAGTCAGAAACAACACACTAATTTTAACAGGGAAAGTTTAATATAAAGAATCATTAACTAGTAGCAGGAGATTAACGTCAACGTGAGGATTGGTTGTTAAAGGGCAAAGAGAACTCTAAAGAATAAGGTAATAAGAGACGTAGGGAGGCACCTCTCCCCCTGGGGCTGGAGGAGAGGCCCTTTCTCCTGCAGCACTCTCTACTGGCAACGCCTAGGATTGTGCCAGGAGGACAGTGCCAAACACTTGTAAGATCCAGCAGGGCGAAGAAGAGTGGATCTGGCTGGAGCTGAGGGGCAATAAGTGGATAACTAGCACAGAAGCCATTTACACCACATGCTCCGGAACTGCGGCCAATGCAAGCTGGTGAGGTCCTGTAAGGTTCTCGGTGTGTGGTGTGTTCAGGCCAGACCAAGCCCTGTGCTCCTCTGAGCTATGCTGGAAACTCACTCTTATAGGTCTGGAAGAGAAGAAACATTCCCTGGTGAGGAGCCTCACCATGTGCATCATTGGCAGGCTTTTATGCAGGGCAGGGCTTGTTCCTGAAGATGGAAGTGGGTTCCTGCAGATGGAAGCAATACACAGGGGTTTTAGTCGGCTCAAGGTCTACCATCCCATGTCAGAGGGTCACCAGTGCCTTCACCTTAGCACAGCCTGGCAGGGCTGAACTCTGCAACCTGGCAGTGCAACTCTGCAACCCTTTCACTCAGGTTCTGGGCTTGGTCCTCAGCCATAGCCGCCCTGGGACTAGAGGAGACAAGGGGCGCTCTGTAAAGAAAGCCTTCCCATTGTCCATCGCATTTTCATTTGGACATTCTCATCTTTCGATTGCTCCCTTTCCCCATGTTTGCTCTCTAGGATAATTCGAAGACATCAGCTGACCCCACAATCAACACAGTCAACACTATTGTCATAGCAACAAAGTGTCACAGCCACTTCAACTCCCAATCCCTTTCTTTCGCCCTACACATCTTTCATTGCTATGACCAGTGATCATTCGAGCAATTGTGAGCTTGCCATAGGCCTTGTCTCACATAGGCCTGTGCCCCATTTTCCCCCACCAAGGTGCTTCTCCCTGTTTCTCCTAGGTGAGGGAAACCACCAGAATACAATTTTGTGGGCCTGCTTCCAAAGTGCCACTCCTGATCCTAATGATTAAATTGGTCAGGGTCCCAGCAGGAAATGACACTAAGACAAAAGATGAAAGAAATCACAAAATGGTACTGGGATGCCCCTGGAGTGCTGTTTGGCACTTACTACTTCACGTGTAACACATGTCCCTCTAGCAGGCTGTTATGGGTGGAACTGTGCCCCCCGCCCCCCACCAAATGAGTATGTTAAAGTCCTAAGCCCCAGTACCTCAGAAAGTGACCTTATTTGGACATAAGGTCTTTAGAGGAGTAATCAAGTTAAAATGAGGTCACTAGGGTGAGTCCTAATCCAATATGACTTATACAAGGTTGTCCTTATACAAAGGGAAAACTTGGACACAGAGGCACGCATAGAGAGAAGGTGGTGTGAAGACACAACATGAAGACAGACATCTACAAGCCAAGGAGAGAAGGTTGGGACAGGTCCTTCCCTTTCAGAAGGAACCAATCTTGTTGACACCTTGATTTTGGGCTTCCAGCATCCAGAACTGTGAGACAACACATTTCTATTGTTTAAGACTTCCACTCTGTGGTGTTTAGTTGCAGCAGCCCCAAGAAACAAATACACAGGTCAAGAGTCCATTTCAGATGACCTTCACTACAGGTGCTAGAAGCCACCTGTGGGGCCAGGACTGAAATGCCAGGGCAAGTGCTAGTCAGGGAGATGGGAAAGGATGAGGGACCAGAGATAAGATTCTGGAGCTGGAAGCAGGTGGCTGTGCAGCTCCCAGCCACCCTCTCTGTCCTCCAGTTCCCTCTAACCATTGGTCTTGCAGTGGCATTTGTGGCCAAGATCTAGAACCCTGCCCCATGCCTGTGCCCCATGAAAACCACATACTGTTACAGAGCAAGGGAGGTGAGTGTTGGAGCCCTGAGTCCTGAAAAGAAGGGACAGTGGCCCAGACGCCTAGGTTTTCAGGGATCTAGGTTTCAAAGAACCTAGGTTTTTTGGGACCAGAACTATCTCTTAATATTTATATTAACTGTCCCTAATATTTATGCTAATAATAATATTAATAATTATATTCTTAATATTAATTGTCCCCAATTAAAAGTTCTTAATATATTTTTACATAAAATTAAGAGCTTTTACAAACACCATTTCTTACTGTGGCATTTTCTCTATTAAAAATAAATATTTATTTATACCATAGAACTCACAGAAACAGTATCAAGTCTGAAAGTACACAAAGAGTATCCTTATTTCATGTTAAATCTAGAGTTTAGGAGGATAATGACTTGGACTCCCGGGCCCTCATGACAGTTAGCTGGGAGCCTGGACTCCTGAGTCTGAGCGAGGAGGGGACTAGGGACAGGGACCCATAGGTTCCTGTGTGAAGAGAGGACGGTGGGGAGGAACCAGGCATCAGGGACCCTGCGTTTGAGGTATATTTCTTGCTGTCTTTTCTCTAGCTCTGCTCCTAGAGGCGGGATCAAAACCACAGTGAGCACTAAAGACTGCCTATCCTATAAGCCTACTCTTTGTTAAAAGGCACTAATCAAGACAGTCCCTTCAATTATTCTAAGACTTGCCAAAACTTCCAGAATACACCAGCCAGACAGTGATGACAGAATCACCCATGCTCACTACCACCATACGAGAGAGACTTCCTCCCCTGAAATCTATGGGCACTACCCCTGTTCTGGTTGCTGGGGCAAGGTTGGCATTGGCCATGGCCTTTTTGTGAGGCACCTCATTCTTTCCTGCTCCCTGATAACCCCAACCCATCCTGTCCTGTAGCCCCAGGACCTAAGGGCATCTGACAATTATTTTCCATCCCCTCGATGAATCATATGCCCATTCTTAAGTGTTTTGAATGTTAAAACACCAAATAATTAGGGCTACATTATAATCTAATTGCAGCTCTTTTGTCTTGGATTATTATTTCTTTAAAACATTTTTGAGGGACTCCAAAAGGATATAATATTCTTCCTAATCTGGCTAAGTTGTTTTCTCTTAATATTTGTATTAACTATCCCTAATTTTTTTTAACCATTTGAAATTTCTTAATATATTTTTACATAAAATTATGAGCTTTTACAAACACCATTCTGATTGTGGCATTTTCTCTGTTAAAAATAAATTTTCATTTATTACCATAGAACTCACAGAAATGGTACCATATCTGAAAATACACAAAGGGCATCTTTACTTCAAGTTACATCTGGAACGTTTACATATACATGAAATAGAATTTTCTGCACGAACAGGAAATCTGAATGACACGTCTTGCTCATGGTACGGACACGGACACGCAGGTTAGGCGTGGCGGCAACCTGTGCCACCACAGTTATTGCTCACGCCCACATTCAAAGGTGCTGGAAATAACGCTGAAGCTGACGTTCCTCTCTGTTCAGTCTTCCAAAAGACCGTGGACAGGCTGGTGCCATGATGCGATGAGAGGATGACGTCATCACAGGATGATGCCTCGGCTGAGCAGGAACCACTGCAAGTGAAGAGCGAGGAAGTCAAGCCGGCTATGGCCACTGGGTGGGTGCTGGGGCGGGGGGGCCAGGTTGGAAGCATGAGAGGTCCTTAGGGCAGGGAGAGAAGTTCAGTGGGTGAGGGCCAAGGGTGACCTCCTAGTGTGGCTAGAGAAGCAGACTCCATAGCCCAAGGGGAGAAAGGGATAGGCAAGGTCATTCGGGCCGCGCTGCCCACCCCGCGATGCATGTGGGGCACCGCAGAAACCAGCGAACTTCCCAGGCCTCGCCCTCCGCTCGCCATTTTGCACATGCGCACCTTCCAAGACTGCCGGGAATAGGCTTCTCCAGAGCCAATGGGGTGTAGCGTTCTTCCAGGCTCATCCAATGAGCACATCAGATGCTTTCTCACTGGCCAATGGGGCTTCGAGCGACCTGTGGCGGTTGGCCCCGCCTTCCGTGCCTCACGGAGACTGAGAGAAGGCCGGGTTGAGCGGGAGGGGAGCTCGAGGGAGCGCCTCCAGAACCTTGTGAGATTACCTGGAAGCCAGGAGGAATTTGGTCCCTTAAAGAGTCAAAGGGGCCTGGGGACCCAGATTCCTGGGTGATAAGGAAAGAGAAGGCTGGAGGCCAGGACCTCCGGGTCTGAGGTGGGTAAGGCCTGGAGGCTTGGCCTTCCGGGTCTGAGGGCGGAGGGGGCTGGGCCCAGAATGACATGTCCTCCGGGACAAAGTGACTGAACCCATACTCCTGGATCGTTAGGTAGGACCGGGCTGGGATTTCAGAATCCTGGGTTCTGACGGAGCTGGGGGCTGGCGACTGGGATGCCTGGGCCTTGAGAGTGTATAGGTTTGAGTCTGGATTCCTGAGTCTGCGGTAGAAGGCGCGTTTGGGCCCGACTCTTGAATCCAGAGGCTGGAGGGTGTTGGGTTGTTGAACTCCTCATCTTCAGGGAATAAGTGGCTGGGTCTGAGAATGACAGTTATGGAAACCGAGGCACAATAAACTTGTCGACTTGCTCAAACCCACAAGCTAGATAGGGACAGACTGACTTTAGAGGTCATCGTCTAATGTACCTTAAGGGCTGCCCTGAAGTCGGTACTTGCCAGAACCTAGATTTAATCTCATTCACGTGGTTGACAAGTTCCCTCTTCTCCATCAAATTGCAGATCCTGATCAGCTATTCCCAACCTCTCTAAAACCAGCCATGGAAACCCATCACATCTGGGATTTGCTGTTCCTCTTTCTCCTAGGAGCCTCCTCCTTGACTAGTATGTATGGGGGGAAGGGAGGAGCAGCTGGGTCACAAGAGGCTTTCGGGTGGAAAAGGGGTGATTTGGGCCCCCGCAAAGAAAGGCAGACGCTTATCTTTATCTCCTTTTCTTCCCCAGTGGCACAAAATTTGCATTGTCACAAGGGTGTATCCATGAACGTAGAAGAGGATCCAGGCAGCATGTTTAACTGGACCACAGAGAAAGTTGAGACTTGTGACAACGGGGCACTCTGCCAGGAGTCCGTGCTGGTAATTAAATCAGGTAAAATGAGAAAGGGGGAGTTGGGACGGGCGGGAGGAAGGGTGACTGTGTCCATGGCGTTGCTGTTCCCCCTTCCCGAGGCCAAACGTTAGGCCCACCATCCACTTTCCTTCCTTCTTGTCTCATAACAGGGGCCAAGACAGCGGTTTTGGCCACGAAGGGCTGCATCTCCGAAGGAACACAGGCAATGACGTTTGCCCAGCACTCTCCACCCCCCGGCATAATCACGGTCTCTTACAGTAACTACTGTGAGGATCCCCTTTGCAATAACCAGAAGGACTTAAAGGAGTTATGGAGGCCAGGTGTGATCCCAGGTACCTTGGGAGGGGCGAGATGGCTGCTAAGAGAAATTCTGTAAACCCTGGAAGAGAATGTAGGTCTTCCTTCTTTGCGTTTTTATGTGGCGTAGGCCCAAGGAGGCCATACACGAGAGGACCTCAGACCTTTTGCTTGCCTTCCTTTTTCTAAATTGTTAACCTGGGATCTAAACACCACTCAGAGCAGAGGGACAGCAACGAAGGCTAGGGTGTAAATTGGGTTTTGTGTTTATTAAACAATCAGATGTCAGTGGAGGTCTCTGAGCAGGGTGGTATCATAATAAACTTAACAATCCCTACTTCCCAGTTGCTGCATGACCATACCTCGATTCTCCCATTTGGCCTCAAGGCTTATAAATAATCTGGCCCTATCTTTTCAGCTCACTTCCTTCTCTTCCCTCTCTCATTTGTTGTGTTCTAGCTGGGGCTAGTACTCAAAATACCATATTTGCCGGCATATAAGACGATTTTTTGGCCCTGAAAAATATGCCTCCAAGTGGGGGGTCGTCTTATACGCCAGGTACACTTCAGATAGACTGCCCATAGTGCTT